GTAATGTGTCAAATCCAGTGCCTATATTTTTTTCGCCCATAATTGTTTGCATCTAGTAGATTTACGAAGTGAAGTTTGTAGGCTCATCTATGAAAGGTTCTTTGTAAATTCCCTTTGAGGATTAGAATCGAGAGATAGGAGAGGGAGTGATTGTTTTGTGAGAAGTGGGTACCCCCAGGTAATTGGATACAGGTTTCTCTTGCTTTATGCTGTACATGCTTTCCTGGAAAATGGTGCACAACTCAAATTCACGTAAAGGGAACCCACTTTACAATGTAACAAATGGGAATACGTGCCAGGACCTCAACTGTACTGACCCCCAGACCCACTTCTTTTCTACTTTGGTGAACATAACACCAGCAGAGTCTCCCTATACCTGAAGAAGGGCATTTGTGCCCAAAAGCTTGCAAAGAACATTGCCTGCCATAATTAATACTTTTCACTTTTATAGTCTTCATATCAGAGTTTCTCTTGAAATACTGCACAGCTGTTTATTAATTAAGCTTCACAACATCCTGTGACATCAGTAAAGGATACACAAGTACCACAGAAATATACACAAGTCTATTAAAATTCATTATTTATCAACCATTGCTACACAGTCCTCTCATAACTATCACAGATATTCTCTTGTCTGGGTAAAAGCAGTAACCTCAGATACTTCTATATGATAATATTTTGCAAATTATGATTTTCTTTAAATAGTGGTGCCTACTCTGGATATGATAAATGCTTCTCTTGTGGTACCTTTTAGATCTTTATTGCCAGTGCAAAACTGACACTTCAGAGAATTTTATACTAGGAATCAGCAAAGAAAGAGTTCAACAAAGTGATGTGTACCTTTTAGATATATGTTTTGGAGAAAAAACATATTCCTGCTATCAAAAGGAACTGATCTGTCCTACCCCATAGCTATGCTTGCAAAACATGTGAACATTGCTCTCTTCCTAATTCCCAAGTCTTTTTTTCTTCATTATAAGACCAACATTTCTCTTCGATGTGTTTATAAACATAAGAGAATTTCCTACAAGGCAAAAAGGAAGACAAAGCTGGCCTAAATTCTGATACCCATTATCTATCCTGATTAATGCTTATTCTTCAATCAATCCCACTGAAGTCAGGGCCCTAATCAAATGAGTGAGGGGATCAGAGTTATCCCACACAAACATTTGAATTATACAAGAATGCTTTATTTTTTAAACAATATTTCCATTCTGCAGAATAGATGTTAACGACATGCAATGTAATCAAGCAGAACGATGTCTGCTCTCATACCAGCATCTTAAGTAGTAAACTGAAGTATCGGAAAAGGGATTCATTTTCTTTTGACTACATAAAAACCCTGTAGTAGACACATGTTGATTAAACACCTTATTAAGAAAGAACATTTACTGTGTGCCTGCCTGTATTTACAATCTGCCTTCTGCCAGTCTGATTTCTCAAAGGTGGATACCTTCTCATCCTTGGCTGAAATTACTGCACTAAGTTAACTAGGTCCAAATTCTCAACTGACAAATAAAGAAAGGAAAAGTTGGATCTATAAGATCACCAAAATATATCAGGTTTTTTTTCAGAATGAGGAAAAATAATTGTTGACCCTCAAAAGTTATATTATTGGCAAAAAAATTGCACTGTCAGTTATATTATGGCACTTTCTGATGGAACCAGAATACAATATCAAATATTTTGAGCTTTATCTGTTGTTGGAGTTATTTGACCCTTTGTGAACTGAGGGCCCCTCCATACTTCCTATTTATACTGTGATTAGCATGTTAATCACACCATAAATGACAAGGGTGATACATGCACACCTAATTTATGGTCCATAAAATGACAACCTAGCCATAAAAATGTTCCACATATAATGTAGAACATTGTTATGGAAGTTTAGTATGGCACCTTAAATTGAATGCATGGCATGTTCATACTCTAAGGTTGTCTAGACAAGATATCCAACAGTCAGCTGAGAGTCATCAGTTGAAATGAGACCCAGGCAGTCCTGGTCTCCAACTGCCTGTTGACAACATTGCCAGCACTGGCCTGGCCAGACCTGGTCTGGAACTGACCCCAGTTCTCCAAAAAAGCCTCAAGTTGCCTTGGGAGCTCATGGTAATGACCCTGGGCTGCCCTGGACTGGCAGCTGTCAAGGGCAAATCCCTAACCCCTAAATTGTGCCTCCCATTATGTATGTGTGACTTGGCAGGAGGCACAATTGTTGAAATCAGGGATCATATCCCATTGCACCATTAAATTAATTTGTGCCAGGGACTCAAGTGTCAGCTTGTAAGCAGAGCACAAATCTGTGTTTCATGACAAATCATGAGTGAAGGTAAGAGATTAAATCTGTAATATTTGATCAGTAGAATAGTCTAACCTTGGTCTACTAAGTTTTGCTGTTGGAAAAAAGGTGGAGAAAGAATATAGGTGTGCTTTTTGAGGTCAAAAGAAAGCCCTCTGTGAGATAGTTTCATAGTTTCTAGGGTCAGAAGGGACCTGAGAAGATCATCTAGTCCGACCCCATGCCATCGCAGGAAAGAGTACTGGGGTCAAACGACCCCAGCAAAGTGTTCATCTAACCTGCTCTTAAAAAACCCCAGGGTAGGAGCCTGCACCACTTCTGTTGGAAGTTGGTTCCAGACCCTAGCCACCCTGACCGTGAAATAGCGCCTCCTAATATCTAACCTAAACCTACCCTCTGCCAGCTTGTGACCGTTATTCCTGGTCACTCCTGGCGGTGCTCGGATATGATATATAATCATATATTCAAAACTTTATAAATTCAGAATACTAATAAAGAACAGTGTCCAGATTACTGGCAGGACCAGACCTTAACAGGGCAAAGCAATGGATTAATTATAGGAAATAATGAATATTTTATGCCTATGATGCTCCCAGCTTGGTTCAATAGACTACCCACTGCAGGTACACTCTCACCACAATTCAGCAAAGTTTGTTAGCACACATCTAACTTTAAGCTCATCACAGATTATAATTGAGTTCATGCAGAGCTGAGTGGGAACCACAATTTGAATTTTATAGGAAATTCTTCTATATCAAAATTTGTTGGGTTTTTTCTTTCAAATCAAAATAAAACTGAAGGCTTCCTAAATCTCCTGTGAAATGAAAATTACACAAAAAACTTGATCTGGCATCAACTAAAAGAATCAAATCAAATATCACCTCAATCAAATCAAATTTTCCTTTTAATTGTGACTTAAAAATAAATAAAGGCCTCTTATAAATAATACTAAAAAATCATTTGGATGTGAAAAATCAGAGTATTCCAATCAGAAAATGGAGTGTTCAGATCTTATCATCATTTTCTCTCCTTGAAACATAATTACATTAAAATTTGCCATTAAAATGGATACATTCCCATGGGAAAAGTTGGATTTCATGAAGTGGTATTTTCTGGTGTTCTCTCAGAACAGTTTCAGTCAGCTTTGCTCATGTGTTTAAAGTTGGAGATGTCCTTGAATACTTTCTCAATGTTTTTCTCTTTCTATAAATGGATGTAACCCAGAAAAGCTTTAACTTGCACAACTGTCTTTTCAGAACTTTTTGATTGCTTTGCAGTTCTAAGAAGCTTGTTCTGGTCATTCCCAAATGTGTTCTGTTTCCTCATTCCCTCTCCATTGCCATCAGTAGCATATAATGGTGGAAGGTCACACTATGTATATGTGTCTTTGCATAATTTTGGCATTCACTGTTGGGAATGCAATGATAAATGCTCAATCTCATATGGCCTATTTAGAAAGCAATAGACAAAAGTATTCAAATTAAATAGTATAGCAGTTTCTCTGTAACAGACGATGAGGCATTGCCTGATCCAAAATCCATTTAAGCTTTGGATCAAACCTTTAGTGTTCTAAAAACTGACAAATCTGGCAAATCCAAATTATCTCTGAAACTTCTCCTATGAAGGTTTCCTGTGAAGGACAGAAATTTAAAAAATATTTAAGTGACTTTGGAATCAAAGGCTAATCTTCCAAAGTGGTGCAGGCACTTATAAACTTAGGGTCTTGACTATGCAGGGCACATGTGCATGAGACATTTACTGCGGAGCTGCCTAATTCGCTATGCATTAAAGTCTCAGTGTCTACACATGCAACCCTTTTAGGCCTCAGTAAACTAATTAACTCCACCATAGGTTAGTACTTGTAAACAGAAGTACTATTCTATGGTGGCATTCTTTAGTGTGCAGCAACACACATGTAGATGCTGATAGGTCTGGCTGGGGCAAGAGGGTGCCTACCAGCTAGCTCCACACTGGGGCACCCTCATGCCCCAGCCAGCCCTTCTGCAGTAAGTTGAGCTGGGTCAGGCTGCCCCAAGCCAGCTCAATGAATCATGGTCCTGGGCACACATGTAAACGCAACTCCCAGGAGCAATTTACTCCAAAGTGATATACACCCTAGTTTATTGCTCCATGCTGATAGCATGTGTTCATGCACCCACAGGGACCTTATTGTGCAGCAAATTAGGGTATTAACGTATAGTACTGTTAATTCAGAATCTATCCTACAATACTGTAGCTTTCCTATGTAGACAAGTCCTATTTTTAATTTACATTCAATAAGGCTTAGGTTTCTTGATATCCAAAGCACTTTGAAAACAGGAATTAGACTAAGACTTTTGAAAATGCTTCCTATCATGTTTTCAATTTATTGTGCCTAGCATGTAAAAAGAAATATTCAGTACAATCTCTTTTATAAGAACCTCCTATGGGAAAAGTTAATTAAAAGAGAGGATTCACTATAATAGGGTTAGTCAATTTGCTACATCACAGTAATGAAAAAAAAATGGTGCCTATTGTTGGGATTGTAAAATGAAGGGTTGTCAATAAACAGGATTTATTATATAATGAGGTTGTACTGGATATTAAAATATACGTATTAGGCACCATTTTTTTCTGAGTCACAACTTTTCATTATTCTGTTTAAGTTCTTGTTGAATGCTGGTCAGCAGTAAAATGAAATGCTCAAAATGCTCTTCCATACCTGATTGTGGACTTTGTTTTGGGATTTTGGCTGCTGCTTCAGGGCTGGAAGTGGATCGCACACGCTGATTGGCAGGGTTATGGTTGCTACTTGGAACAGCTGCTGAGATGTTCTTGCGAGGTTTCATATCTTGCAACCACATTGGGGATGCTTCAAAGGCCTGCATTCGCCGAGAGTGGCTATTCGCATTGACTTTGAGAAATGCCTGAGCCTTGTATTCCTGAAGGTCTCCATAGTTGGCATCTGTCACCCTGCACTCATACAAGCCTTCATCCTTTTTCCTCACTTTTGAAATCTGCAGCTTGTGGGAGATGTCATTCCCTTGTACTTTCACCGTCTGCAAATTTTCCAGGAAAAAAGAAAAACAGTACATTAGACATTATCATTCCAACATTTTTTCTCTAGACAGAATATCCTGAGACACCGAGTGTGACTATTCTAAAAGACTGCATGCCAAATTAATCAGGAGCAAAACTAGCTAATTTCCGGAAAGTTCCACTGGGGGTGAATATAGTTCCTTATATTCATATAGAAGATTAGTGCCTTATCTCCAGAACTGTTTTGTATGATGTGTTCTGAGTGTTAATTGGTTTCAGACAAACAACCTGAACTTTCACATTCTTTTTAATTAATTCTTCAAGATCATGAACATTGTTAATGAGCTTTCTTGCATAAACCCGATATCGCTGAATTTCGTTGGTTAAATCTTTCCAATTACATGACTTTATTGAATCATTCAACTCTTGAGCTAGTGCATTAACAATCTTGTTGGAGATGTTTGCCAATATTAAGCTTCTTTAACAATTTATTAGATTATCTTGTACTCTTCACTGTGATAAAAAATTATTACTGCACATAGAATTTCTTCACATCAGACTTGCCCAAAGTTTTGTTATTTTTGTTTTTAGCAGTATTTATGAGGCCACCAAGATATGTAGCTATTTTAAGAAAAAACCTATTATATACAAAAGCATACATATATTAAAATAATGTGTCATTTTGGTGATTTGACAATACATAACACACAGTATGTATTGTTTTGTTAGAAAGATTTAGTTAATACAAAACCATTCAATGCAGTCTTTGATATCCTAATGTACTATAACTTATTTTTCATATTGTATAATTAATTTCAAAACACAAATCATGCATTTTTGAATAAGGAGCAAGACATTGTAATTTACTCATAAGTAAAAGGTACCAAGAGTTACAGGAAACAGTAGCAGAGTCCTTTCTTTGTATACCTTGTTCCTTTGAGTCATTTATATTAAATTAATAGGCTATTTTATATTGATGATTGATAGCTGACCAGTTTTTATAGGTGTGGCCCCACAAAAAAACAAGCTGAAGGGATCATCAGAACTGACAAATATGATCTTGAGAGAGCCCTGCAGTCTGCCTTCGTTCTGCCACCAATATCCATTATATAAATTCAGCTGCAAATGTAGCTTTATTTCATACAGTAGCAAAAAGATGAAGATGGCAAGCAGCAGGGAAACATTAGAATAATGAAGATGTGACAGGTCATAGAGAAAGTTAGACTGCAACCAGGCATATGCTATTTATGATTATTCAACACATTGTGCCTAATAGCTTAGCATATTGTCATCCCCAGTATTGGCAACAGACTTTATTCTGCCTAGTATACTACATAAAGGACAATACTTATGGATCGTAGTATGAAATGAGATGAACTTACAACAAAAAAATTATAGTTTCCATCTTTGTAGATCAAGTACGTTGTTTGATAAATTATATCTAAAAAACAGATGAGGAGTTTTGAGTATAATATTATATACACAAGAGGTGCGGGCTGTTTATTTATTGCAACCTTATTAAATAGTAATAATAAAATATCTATTTTAATCAGATCAAAATGAAAAATAGTTTCAAAGAAATATGAAACTCAGCATAACCTTAAATCAGACACACAGACCAAATTCTACCTTCAGTTATAAGCAAAAGCATTGGCACTTCAAAGGAGGAACTGAGAATTTACTTTGTGTTTGGATTTGAAAAGTAGAAATGGTATTAAGATAAGATTGTTTCATTTTGTATGCTTTTCTATTCCAAATTCCAAAGAAATGATGTGTTTCTGCATAAATACAGTGTATTTCCAGAGGAACCCAGTACCTCACACAATGCCATCTTTTTGTAGGAATTTGCCAAGTGTCCTTAAAACTGTATTCTTCCTATGATATAGACAGATTTCATTAACATCAATGGGATTTCTACATATGCACTCAAGAAAAAATAACCTCTTTTTATAGCAAGAATATTTAGAAGGCCAATTTGATATATACATTTTAAAGCAAGTAAATATATTTTACTTAAGCTTATAAACAAAATTTGACTGCAGGCAATCAGAGCAGTATTTGATAATATTGGCACACAAAATGAGATGAACATTATTAACCTGAAGATAGCTAGGATTTTAAACAATTCAAGATGGGCCATAACCTGCAATTTTTATGAAATCAAAATCCCTATGGCCTTCAATGGGAATTGTGAATGACCAAATACTGAGTAAGGAGTAAATTAATCAGTAGTTCCCCCCAAAAAGGCCAAATCAAGTTCTGGGTCTTATTAAACCAGTCACTGTACAAAAACAGTTAAAGACATGCACCATGCTATAAGAGGTTTACAGTGTAAGGTTTCTAGGAACGTGGAGAATGTGAGAAAAAGGGCTATGGTCACAACATATGCAGTTATTAATGTGAAATGAAGAAATGCATGCTGCAACAGAACTTTAATTAGTGTTATGCATCCAAGAATGGAATACAGAACTGAATCTTAAATGATTTGCCGATATTGCAGTTGATATTCCTGCTGATGATTTAGGTCAAATTATGCCTTTGGTTTCCCATCTAAAATGAACAATCTTTCCAGAACTTGTGGGAATCCTTATCCCTACTGCTTTGGCTTGTAAGGAGAGGGACATACACAGTCACCCACTGCCTCCTCAAATTCCCTGGGGGACTCTGACAGAACAGTCCCTTCATCTCTCTGAGCACAGAACCTACTGATCTAGCTTTCCAGAAAGGTGTGCAAAGGAAAGGAAATGGACCTGCATCTTTCTTTCTTCTGCATACCCCTTTTCCTACACTGCCTGACTTGTAATTCAGACAGATTATCTAATTATTAAATCTAGCCTTATAGACTCTGACCCTCCAGGTCACACTCAGGAGAGACACCCAGTGAAGTCACTAGGGCTTTGCCCAAATAACAGCTGCATTATAGCTATTGTACTGGATGAAACCTTTTCACAGTAGCAGTAATATCTGTTTCCCATCAGCTAAAAGTATTTTTTTTAATCACCTCTGTAAATAGCCATATACTAAGCAGAAGGGAAATGCCAACCCAGAGGAAATTTCAGAATTTAATTCAGAATTCTAATTTAGAATTCTGGGGCCATATCGTTCCCTCCCTTGGTACATCCAACGGGAAGATAAACTGTTCTGGCTGAGCCGAACCAAGTTAGTCTACCTTCATGAAAGTTCTCTTTACTGGAAAGAGGGGCTGAAGGGAGCAGCAGTTCTTCACTACTGAACAAGTCACGTCCATTCACCAGTTGCAGAAATCCTGGGGAATCCCAAGGGAACCAGGACCAGCCCAAGGGAAAACCCTTACATGTCTTCATCCTTATAACCCCTTCTTCAGTGTCTGGCATGATTACTCTGATGACACTGTACTGTGGGGACCATGAAGAGACTCCATGAGCAAAATAATTCAGGGCCAGTTAGAATGATCATTCTCGGTAAATTCTACAGGTCGGTACAGAGGGAACTCTGACTTCAGCATTACCTAATGTGTGGCACACCACTCCCTGCCTTCAGTATACTCAGTACTCTCTCCTGGCAGATCCAAGCTCCATGGAAAACCCTCTTCAGTCTTGCAAACTGTGTGTGTGTGCACATGTGTGCAGAATATGGAAGGAGCAGTAATGTGGATGAAACAAATCTGTCTTATTCACATTCACAGGCTTGAGAATATTCACACATATCTTGGGAACATGTTCTAGTCCTATAGTTTGCTTTGGTTAAGGGTTTTTTTTAACAGTGCAATTTAATAAACTCATCAGATCTGTGTTGTTTCTGTGACCACAAGGTGCCAGTGAAGAAACCAAAAAAAAAAAAAAAA